AATCAGATGTTGTATTTACTTACATGAATTGTTCAAACATTTGGTTTAAATAACTGACAACCAGTTATTTACCAGTGCCCTTCCCATACACTGTTAGGGGTCCGCCTACACCCGTAACCAGTACCCCGGTGGTCGGGTACACTAGGACTATTGTCAACTCCTCATTGGGAACCATAAATAAACATGACCAGCTAATTTTGATCCTTTAAATGGGTGGTGTGACGCCTTTAATGACGGTGTGGAAATAAATCTCATAAATTGTATAATCGGTTCAATTTACCTTTGCCGATTTTTTTGGAATGCGTAATACCAATTGGAGAACTGTTTCAGCTAGTGTCTATTTTCAGGCTTATATGAATTAAAGCACTTCATTTATCACTTGCTTGCCACAAATATTTGTCAATAATTACACTCACACCGTTGAGCGTTGAACGTTCACATGCTATGACCATATACAATTACAAATGTATGTGTTTTCACTTGTGTTAATGAACGTGGGTGGTTTCATATAACGTTGTCAAAAACGTAATATGTAGACAAGTTCTATTTGAGGTCCTATTTATTCCTATGATCAAATTTAAGTGTACAGTGTACATATGTTACTGTTTGGCATATCGTTTTTCAATGTAACTATTAAGTATTTTATTAATCATCCTTGGTCATCAAGTTTTACATTAATCTAAGGGGAACATCAATGAAAAGAAAGAAATTATTCACATGGAAGATTGAGTTCCTTTTGATTTTTACTTAATTAGTGTAATATATCTCGTTGGATCAAGGCTATTTCTAATGCATATATCTATTTTACTACTAACACGGTTACTACAGTAAGAACAGTCAGTCGGCGGGAGGAACTGTTTTTCGTCGTTTTTATGTTTATATAACTGTGACTCACATAATGATCGATTGGACTGATTTTTGACAGGCTCCAGATCATTATTATCACGTACCTGACCTGGAAACGTTCTTTGAGCAAGCGAAATGTCCAGTGTCTTTAATTTTTTACATGGAATGTGTTTTGATTAATGTCGTCTGGCCTGGTATGACATTATTTTCCTGCACCGTTCAGCAACAGACAAAACCAACAAACTTTCTATATTACTGACATATCACCAGAATACTGTATAGCTGTAAATTTACGCTGCAGTTTAATTTTCGCCTTTTTTCGCCCTCCGCAATAAAGGAGAATTTATGCTAACAGCGAACATTTGTACACAGTTTACTCTATATAGTTATTACATGCGAAGGGCGAAGTATAGACTGGGCGAATGCAGATTTTACCACTGAAGGGCGAAATTTACGCTGGGCGAATATAATTTTTACAAGTGAAGGGCGAATATTTGACTGGGCGAAAGATTCACGGTAAACAGTATATTCCATGTCATATTTGTCTGTTCAAGCATACGTTTATATTTTGACCACCTACTTTCGTGTACCATTTGTATATTCTACTTTACATTTGTTGATTTAACACGGACTGACCAGAACTTTATAAAGGGCGGTCAAGTTAAACGTCTGTCTCAACAGAAAATCCAAACTTTTTCTTGTTTGCTATGTTTATGTTGTAATCATATTCAACAACCAGACGGAAACATCCATGATAGCATGCAATCAAGTAAAGGTTTGGCAACTATTTTGAAGTATTTATATAACCATCTCAAAAATAACCGTGTACTGAGACAATTACTTTCAGGCAGTTATACAACAGAGAGACTAAAAACTGTATCCATATTGCCACAAGTGACACGGGTACCTGTGTATGGCTACCTGTGTATGGCTGTATGGCTACCTGTGTATGGCTACCTGTGTATGGCTACCGTGGTTGCAATAGACGTGTACATAGAACAATGTGTCCCTGTATTGTTCGGGGCGAGGAGACAGACTAATTTCGCCATTAACCTAAATTAAATCAGACATTAAATCTATATTTAGATACTGTGTATGTACGGTATCTCCCCCGGAGAGATCTGCGAGAGGCGATTTCCACTTAGCTTATAAATCGGTCAGTGTTAATTTAATGGTGTACGCGTTCTCATCAGTATTTAAATAAGAAACATTTTTTTTTCCTTTTAAGTATTGTATAGTGGTTTAATTTCGCGAGGCTATTACTGAGCGGTAGTCCCTATCAGAATTACCTAGCATGTAAGTTTTGTGCAAAGTGGCAAGGTAAAACTATTGCGCTCAGAAGGGTACATTTGTATATGGGATTGAGATGGGATTTAGTTTAGAAGTTTTTTTGTTTTTCTAAACCGTAAAATACTATATTGATGGTTTTTTTCCATTATTTGAAAGTAAAAGCATCAATTGATCTTTTCTTTTATCTCTAAATATTCATTGTATCAATATTCGGCGGGTTATTAATTTCGCGGTATCATTGGTGACCGCAGAAACAGCGAAAAGATATCCCCGCGAAAATTGCTAACTTTACAGTAGTCGACATTGTCATTGCCTTCCACCGTTTTCCATGGAATGTTTCCGGTTTTTTGTTTGCCAAGCTTATATATTAGCGGTGTGGAAATTTTCGCTATAGAAATGCCATTGTATTTATCATAGCATGCCATAGTGTTCTCAAGTGTATAAGTTCATACTTATTTCGTAGAAGAAAAAAAGTGACATAATAATCAATGTATACCTACCTTCATTGCGTACCCTTGTGTCAGCAGGATTTCATAATAATCCTGCTTAGTCCTCGTGATCAATGGTTGCAGTTTCGAGTCTGGTCACGGCCACCCCTGCAGGTGGGGAATCGCGAAAAGAATACACCTGCTGTTAGGCTACCTAGTGCATGTATCGTAGGAGGCGACTAATGGGAAACCCCCTGCAGAATTGGGGATTTGCTTTGTTGTCCTCTATATGGGGACACAAAAGCGACCAAAATAAATCTGTTGCGTCCATTGCAATATTTGGGATCTTTATCTTTCTTTCTACTTATAACTATCTTTTTTTCCTAGCGCCTTGCTTGACAACACCTCACTTTTGGCTTAAATATTGAGCGTTCGCCCAGGAGATGAAGGCAATGGGGTTGTCCCTAGGCCGGGTAACTACTCAGTATACTCAGCTGTAAATGAGTAAGTGTTTTGGCAGTGCTTGAATTGTTGAATGCTAGCTGTGAGCGCCGAAATGTCAGCACCGGCTGTATGCTCTCCAGGGAGTTGATCAAGATATCTGCTGGTTACAAAGGCCCTATTACCATGGATGATAATTTGTGAACCGCTTTGAAACGACCTACGAACTAGGTTGTGATAAAGCGGTATATAAGAACTTCGAATTTTTATCATTATTTATATGTCCTTGCTGGTAGTGGATTAAAAATAAAAATACACCTGCTGTAACCCACTGCATGTAGCTAGAGGTACCTAATGTGGGAACACCCTACAGAATTGGAGATTGCATTTGTTCTCTCAACTTGGAAACACAAAAGTGACCAAAATAAATCTGCTACACCCGTTACAATTGTCTGGATATTTTTAGTTTCTCTCTACCTCCTTAACACGTTTTAGTTTTCTTACCCCGTGATTGACAAAACTTGACACATTTGGCGCCAGTGTTAAACGTTCGTCCAAGTAAAGAAGGCAATGTATTCTGTCCCAAAAACGGGAAATTTCAAAGTCCTTATTTCGTAGTTGTTGTCCCCTGCTAAACGTTTAGTATTTCGAACAATTGCAACAACTTTTAAACCCGTTGTCAGTATAATGTGACCGGGTCGAATGCTGTGTTGGGTGCCTTCGGCATGGTATTTCAGTGAGATAGCACTGTCAAGTCAGCTTCAGATCCGCGCTATCGCAGGGGGGCATTCACCAAGTTACCGCCTCCAGCACACATACACACACGCACACATACACACACGCACACATATATTACACACATGGAGACACATCATTAAAAGACATTTTCTGTTAATAGGACATTAAACAAAACAAAACAAAAACCAAACTCCTGTTATCATGATTACATACTACTCGAAATTGTCTACCCTCCTATTATCAAAAACTACGTAACACCCCATATTGTTGAACCATCTGTTACAATAGCAGACACCTTAGTTTCATGAGCGTTACTTTACTGAAAGAAGTTAAATAAATTATACATGTAGCTGTTTTTTTATGTAAAGCCGTGCTGAAGTTTAGGAAAATGTTCCGAAAAAGATTTTACTTGAACTACAGCAATTCACTTCTCTGGAGAGAAAAAAAATCAGAAATTTCTTTAAGATAGGGAAGGTGTCAGTGTATTGTATAGCACTGAGTTTAACAGGTAAACCTCAGGCAAACATTGCCTTCGTTATTTGTGATGTATTCCATCTTATTATGTACACATGTCGTCCCATCCCCTTTGTAGTTATTTGTTGGTAGGTGTTGACTTGTACCACCAGATCTTTGTCGAACATTTTACTTTATCATCCGTCCATAGTCTATTTGTTCTTTTTGACTTTAAACCTGTTTCGGTGCTACGTTAAATGGTTAAAAGACATGTAGATCTGTAGTTACATAGTTTAATGTTTAAAACAATCATGATATTTCCGACTTTGATAAATTTTAAGATGAATGTGCTATGCTTACCAACATAATGTACCAGAGGTCTCTATTGAATGTGTACGAAGTGTAACGCGATTTGTAATATTTAGAGCAAATCCAGTTTGAATAATGTATATTGATTAAGTCAGCCATGCATACCGTTTGTTTAATTGCTGAAGACTTTAAGTAGTATACATAGTCTATGTACGTTGTAATAATGAGGATGCTTGAATGAAACGATATGTGTTGCCGTTTTACTACTAGTTGAGCACGACGTTGTGGAACATCGCGTTTTAGATACCCAGTACAAGTGTGTCTAGACTACTGGACAAGAGACCGACAGACATGCACGTGATATATAGCGGTAGTTTAATATCCCGCATTTATGATTAAAGACGTTAGGACTGAAAGTCGTGTCACGTGATTCTAAATCTACAACTAACAGTCAGGAAAATATTTAAATATAACAATGCTACCAGGTTGCGAGGCGAGGGTTTAGGTGTATATACTTGGTTGTGGAGGGCCCGCTGGATTTTAATGGTACACTATAACATAGGATAACGTGTTCTTTTCCCGTGGATGTATTCATATTTTTCGTTTACCTTGTGATTGGTGATATGTATTCTGAACATATGAAGGGATGTAAAATTACTTTAATATGTATCCTGATAGCGGTGATTTACCTGCAAACATGTGAAGGTAAGTACATTTTTAATAATTTTGTCATTGTTTTTTTGTAGTTTTAGTCATTTCTATTTTTTCACCATTTAAAGTGTTTTGTTTTCTATTCATGCTGGGTAGTAAGCGGTGCGACATTGGAATGGTTTATTTTCTTTTCCTTCTTGTTTTACTTGAAGTACAAGAATAGACAACGTAGCTGTTATTATAACTCCCACCTACAACGTCTGTCAACCCGAATGTTTTTAACATCTTTTTTTTTAGAGAGAAAAATAAATAAAACCAACATGGTATTTATTGATCTCGACTTGTTGATGACATTATAGAATAGATATTTTACAATCTTTGAACCTTAGCTAAAAATTAATCAAGAACCAAGCGTAAATTACGCTGCGAAATCCTTTTGATTTTTTTAATTTTGATAACTCATTTTTTTTCGTGAAGCAAATATAAAACCGATGATAAGAAAGGCTGTATACTATTTATCACCTTACCGTTTGTCAGATTTGCCGATACCCCAACTTGTCCTTTGCTCTTTCAGACATGTATCAGTCGTAGCAGGACAACATGTATGACTTTAGATATTGTATATTTTAAAACAGCAAAGAACATGTAGATATAAGATTACTTACCAACTCATATACAGGTACAATGTAATGAAACCTCTCTGAATCGACCGCCAATGTTTCTGGTCGGAATAGGAAGTGTTCTGCGTTATATAGGTTTTACGTACATTGAAATGCATACAATCGAGCCATACAAAAGTCCTTAAAAATGGTAGTTGTTATTCCCTGCTTAACTTTACGTGCATGTCCTTAAATGATCTTAGCTGTTAATAGGACGGTAAACAAAATGCAATCAAACAATCGGGCCTTAATGAGGGTCCGGTTTGTACGGGTTTTCAGATTTTACGAGATTCTCTGATTTACACCGGTTATACTGTTTATATAAAATTAATACGAAGGATACATTTTTCCTGGGCCCTTTTTTATTTAACAGAAACAAAATGGCACATTGACCAGCAGAGTATCACGCGACGTTTTTGGTTAACATGACAATATCGTCAGATTTATTACGAAAAACTACTTGTGTTTTATTTGATAAAGTACGGACAGTACTTGTGTTTTGTTTGACAAGTACGGACAGTACTCGTGTTTTGTTTGACAAGTACGAACACCATTGATATTTGTCGATTTACAGGCAAATTGTGTATGTTGTTTGATTCAGCGGGATTCGATGTCATGTCCACGTGTTCTGTACCTAGATATGGACTGGAAGCTTTATTTGTACAAATGATTTGTTAACGTAGCGTTGTACATTTAGAAAAGAAAACGTTCAGCATTAAGGGGAATGGCAACAACTGGTTCACCCGTTGCCAGTATAATGTGACCGGGCGGAATGCTGTGCTGGGCGCCTTCGGCATGGCATTTCAGTGAGATAGCACTATAAAGTCGGCATCAGATCCGCGATATCACAAGGAGGCAAGCACATCAACATACCCCGTCTCCTGCGTACACACACTCAAGCACGCATACACTACACACATGGAGGCTTTATTTTACCTGTACAAATGATTTTTAATGTAGCGTTGTACATTTAAAAAAGAAGAAGAAAAAAACATTTTTTCTTCATGTGTTATGTACATGTTTAAACATGTGCAAGTAATTAATTGTCCTTTGAACGAAATACCTCGACAATTCTTTGTAGACTTATCCTTATTTCGTCTACAGGATGGTCGAGAGGTCGCTATAGAGGACGTCAACCCATGTTACAAAAAATAATGAAACTAATCCCTCGGTGCAGTAATATTGCCTAAGATTACAGTTATAGGGTTGGCATTTAATTAAAAGTATTTAAACTGACATACATACACATTTTGAAAGATAGGTAGATAATCCGTTAATCTTACGACGGTAACGTTACGTATACTATAACAGAAGAGTTGTAGATAGCTGTTTTCCCTCGGGTATTTAGTACAGGAATACACAGGGACCTGAGAATTTGTAACAGTGAAGCTATGTTTGGAGCTACACTGATATGTTTCGTGTGACATCAGACGTTTTAGGTGTTTAGATCAACTTTCGGTAAAAATGCCACCCTCACGGACGGTATACACATTCATAGCAATTTTTACTAGAAGTTGATTTAAACACCTAAAACGTCTAATAGTATCCTGAACACATCAGTTTATGTCCAAACATACCTCCATACTGTAGCAAATTATCCGGTCCCTGTGCAGGAATGTTCACGTATATGTAATACCATTAAACTATCTGGTGTCGCATAAATAAGTTCATCTGATAAAGTAAACACACAAACGGTCTGCTGCTTGATATTAATCAAGTATTTTATCACTATTGATGCCTTCACAATCTTTGGCCACAGGTGAAAATTAAAGCGCGCTTATTCAATAAGCGTAAGTGCAATTTTCGCCTAAGGCCGATGATGTGTCTTAACTTGGTATTGGAGATTATCAATAGAATGGAGAGCAGTGCTAGGTCGCTTGACCCTTATCAGCGTAATATTAAAACAGGAAGTCCTTGCGTATTAATTAACAAATGTATGAACTCGCTCCGTTTTATTAAGTGTACTGCAACTAACTAACGTCAAAGAATTAAATAAATGGCGGGTGTTGTCGAGGAGGCAGATTTTCCCTAGTTTTATCTATTTATTTTCAGTTCGAATTATGGGTTTGTTGACACTTCGGTATTCTCTTATTGTTTAAGGGGAGATGACTGTGTGTACGATAACCATGGTGCAGTGGGACAGGGATCCTTAACCCATTCACCCCTGAAGACACATTTGAACTCTTCCAAATCAAAGGTTGGAAAAGTTTATTATGAAACTTTTGGGGTGAATGAGTTAATTATGTAAAATAATATATATCCTTTAAGTTACAAAATTAAGAATGTATACTTGATCTATACTATCGTGTAGTTTGTACACTCGGTTTTTATGTTTTGGCACAGTTGCCAGTTAATACAGATTCGGAGACCCCAGATAGCCTATACGTTAACTTATTACATTTTAGCATTATTTCGTGTGTTCTGTTGTTAATTATTATACTCTCATATCATACGACATTTAATACAGTGCCCATCAGTTAAGAATATTTTTTCTTATACGCTCTCTATTTTACATTACAGATATATATAAAAAATCATAAACTGACTTATCAGGAGCAAACTAACGGTCCTCAGTCACCTGGCTAAATACCTCCACATATGGGCGTAATATCACGCTTCGAAGATTTCGGGGGATTGGAAGCGACCAAAACCTTAAAAATCTATGTTAACTGGGTACTCTGGATTTTAGTGTTAGATTACACTATTAATTACATTAATATCAGGAAAGCGAATTATTCGAGATATCTAAAGTTCGTCGTGTCAAAGTTCTACGGGTAAGGTAGTTACGTATATAAAATCAAGAAGTAAAATGTTTAAGATTTCCTTATAAAAAAAACTATTCAGTTTATCGACATCCGATTTTTTCTCTCCGTGCTTAGACTCCACATTGATCTATACCTAACACCATGTTTTTCTGTTTCTCCTTCACCTAATTATATATAACTTGTCGGTGTTTTATTTCCCAGCTTTTCGTTTCTCCATGAAGTTGCTTTATTGTACAAAATGTAATATCTCGTCTGATCTCACGGCAATTCAAAACTCGCGCAGGTATTTACTCCTCTCACTCCTTCAATTTTATTTTATTGTCATTTACTTTCAAATGTATTTATATTTGGTAGACTTTTGTTAAAAATTAAGTTCAAATGAGTCCGGCGTTCTACTCGTGTGGCAATTTGAGATGTTATTACTTAACGTGTCAAGTCATTTTACCATAGACTACACTATACGGCAGGTATCGCTGTAGTAAACGTGCGTTGTCGTAACGCAACCGTAGATATTTCCACTTGTTTAAATATTTAGTTCAAATAAAACTTGAGTTTAGAGCGTTGTTGACGGTAACCTTTCCCCCTACTTGTCGTGGGAGGCGAGACTGGAGTGGACTTAAAAACACATTTATAACTGTTATATATTTCTATTTTGTATATGGTAACCAAAACTACTCCTAGCACGGTGTAATACAGTCCCACAATGTCTAACTGCTGTGTCCATACCTGACCGATCGCCAACGATGTCGTGTGACACATGACAACTTAAACCGACATTTTGCTTTACGAAATGTTAAAATAATACGACTTAATATCACGATGACGTCATAATCACATGGTGTCGCAGAAAGTATACCGTAAGTAAGTCATTATACGTATGATGTTACGTGTCTCGACCCAGTGTAATAACTTCTTCGCTAGCCAAGGGTTACGATCCAGTACGATACGGTCTACCGACTCTTCAAAACAATATTAGCATGTGCTGGTACTTGTTATGGGACCATGTTTCCAACGACTAACTAAATACGTACATAGGGTACCTAATTCAGCTACTACCAGCCAGTTAAAGTACATGTATACATTAACTTATGCATACTTGACACCATGGTACCGTATAATGATGAGTCATGGGTGGTAACTTACCACCAATAAAACTTGTATATCTAAAGATAATACAAGTATTTTGTAAATTATTGTATTTCATAACTACTTTACCAAATGTTAGACGAGTCGTTAACTCAACTTTGTCATCACGTATACATAAAGACTATTATTATTATTATAAGAAACTCGTATATGAAATATTAATCGCTAATTACATGTAATGGTAATTGATATTCGTAATTATGATGTAACACACAGATCACAGTTATGATTAAATCCCCTGGATAGCATAATATTTTAAAAAGACTAACAAACCACTTTATATTGTAATTTATTTGATAGTGAGTATTTAGCACCTGTTCTAAGTGGGGCAGAGAGCCAGGCACGGTAGTCTAGTGGTAAGACGCCGGGCTCGTGATCGAAGGGTTGCGGGTTCGAGTCACGGCACGGCACTTTGTTGTATCTTTGAGCAAGATACTTTACTCCGCTTGTTCCAGTCAACTCAGCTGTAAATGAGTACGTGGTT